GTCCATGGTATTACACTCGAATTATTATTAATCAGTGAAACATTTTGTTTAAATACACTTCTAATAATCTCCGTACGAAAATTATTGAATTGTAAGATATTGATTACATCCTTTTGTTCTTTTTGTTTATGCTCTTCTGATGTGATGATCTTGTTAGCTCTTCTAAAAAGATTTAAGGCTAACGAAATCTTGGCACTGAAGAAGTGGCTCACACTAAGTCAAGAAACGTCAGAAAATCTAATTTTTCTGCTCACTGGCATATTACAAATAACAATAGTTAAAATCAGGAGTCAATTAAAGCCAGACCACCTTGGAAAAACTGGAAGCACTGGACGACCGTTTCATCCTAGTATGCGACTCCTCAGCAGTGTGCGTCCACGATCCCACATTCGCGAGATTCGAACCCAGGACCTTCCAGTCTCGCGCGTGAGCGCTTAACCATTAGACACCTGAGCCGGCATCCAACGGTGTTAATGTCTAACTTCAACCAATCCACGAAGTTGAGCCACAATACACCATTGTTTTCAATGAGTTACTATCTTACAATAGACCCGGTTTAACTCCACTAGTCACTGATTCTCACTAGAACTCCAGGAAATGCCTATTGAAGTCAGTCACTAGTGATCAGATGATTATTATCAGAAGGGGTTTTGTGGAGATTTTTAGAGATTTCATTAGTTGAAATCATGAGTCAATTGAAACTAGACCACCATGGAAAACCTGGAAGCACTGGATGGCCATCTCGTCCTAGTATGCGACTCCTCAGCGGTGCGCATCCACGATTAAAACTCGGTCCATGTTTATGAAATATGAAATGAAAACTTATAAATTGAATTTTGTTCCGATTGTTTGGGAAGGGCAAATTATTTTCATTTTATTATCAATGAAATTTAACCATCAGATTCTTAGGATAAAGTAACGCCCAGAGACTTTTGAACTAATGATGTTTATATATATATATATACTCAAACCCTTTCACATGATGTGATACCATTGGATATGTCAAAACTATTAGCAACAAGCAAATAAATAATACGTGCATATTTTCTGCAAAAAAGGGGAAAATTTATAATCGAGTTATATAAACCTTATTTTTGTTTTCCAAAAAAAAAGAAAAATAATATTTTCATGCTATCTGAATAGAATAATTGTTATCATTAAAATAATTGGAAGACGATCCCTTCAACTGTTAATATATATATTCAATGGATTAATCGATCTTTTGTATTAATAATAGTTCAATTCTATAAGAAATATTTATTAATAATTGAATTGGTTATTTATTTTCATGGATTGGTCACAGAAATAATATTTATTTTATTTATTAATGAAAAGAAACATATGTAGTAAGTGTTATGATAATTGCTTGTTTAATTACTGAGTTTTATGAAGAAGTGATACATATTATTATTTTTATATTGTTTATTATTATAATGAAATAGGGATTTTTTGTATCTTATAGTAATTGTAATAGTTGAATTCATGAGTTAAATAAAGCTGAACGGCTGTTTCGTGTTCAGGATTGCACATCCATGATCCTACCTTGTGAGATTCGAATTCAGAACCTATCGATCTCGCGCGCGAACACTTAACCTCTAGACCATTGAGCCAGCCGGTATCCAACGGTGTTAATGTCTAACTTTAACTAATCCACGAAATTACCTCACTGTCCACCATTGTTATCGATGAGTTACTATCTTACAATAGACCCGGTTGAACTACATTAGTCACTGCTTCTCACTGGAACGCCAGGAAATGCCTCTTGCAGTCAGTCACTAGTGAGCATATATGGTTATAATGAGAGAGAGAGAGATTTTGTGGATATTGTGGTAATTTAATAGTTGAGTTTATGAGTCAATTAAAGCTAGATCACCATGGAAAACCTGGAAGCACTGAATGGCCATCCTCAGCAGTGCGCATCCAAGATGTCGACAAATGGGATTCGAACTCAGGACTTATCATTATTAACCAATTCAATTATTTATCTATCTAGAAAAAAGAAAAACTTTTTCCAAGAAATTTCTCACTTTTTTAAAAGTAGATTTATATAGTTTAGTCTTAAATACTAGTAGTAAAAATAATGTTTAAATAATCTAATTACATAGTCTTTTTATTTATTAAATTCTTGCTAGTATATAATTAATACTTAGTAAAACAAATTGAATTTCACAATAGATTTCAATAATAGCTCATAGAGAGTAAAATCTAACTATAATGATCATCAATAAAAATACAAGTTTCTTTATCACCGTGACATTATTTATTTCTCACAAATAGAACAAAAGATATTTCATTATCATGAGTTCACTTATTATTTATGTAAATATTTCTAAACTCATTTTGTTTATTTTAATGGTGTAAGTAGATGATGAGGATCTAGACTAGATAAGAATATAAAATAATAATATATCGAATAGATTAAAATACGAGAAATTAGGCGTATTATTAACTAACATTAATACACTCGTATGTTGGAGATCATTTTAGTCATAATATAAAATTAGCATGATGAAACTTAACTGTCAGGAGGTATTGAAAAGTAAATTACTTTTTTTTTCGTTGTGATTTGAAGGGAATCATACTTATCACTATATTTGAAGAGCTTATTTTCAATCTCCTATATGAATGTGCTAATAAATATTGTTGAAAAATTACAAATTACATCAAAACACTACAGTATTTCTTAGTTTTAAGTGATTCATCGTCAGAGTCAGTTTGTGAAAATAAGTTTACTTATATGTAGTTAGGAAGTTTTAACAAAATCACTTCACTTCATTATGTACTTATTATCAATATATGACAAGTGAAATGAACATTTTTATATCGAAATATAGCAAAGATTAATATTATTTGTCTAATGTAAATGAAATCTCAAATTCCTTGATTATTAAATCAAATATTTTTCATTCTGAATATATTTCTATGTTGAGAAAAAATGTTCTCTTAGTTGCTGTATTCGTTTCATTTGTAAAAGAAACTATAGTCCATAGGATAAAACTTTGTTGTTTCAATCATACTGTTTCATACAGTTTAGTGTTTCATGATAGAATATTTAACGAATACTGTTTACTTGATGACAAATCTCGTTTCTAAAGCAAACCTTTATTTTTTATCAGAAAGGGGGGTTTGTGAAGATTGTAGTAACTTAATAGTTAAATTCATTAGTCGAGTAAAGCTAGACTACCATGAGAAATTTGGAAGCACTGGATAGCTGTTTCGTCCCCTTATGCGACTCGTCAGCAGTGCGCATCCATGATCCCGCTCAGGGATTCGAACTTATGTTATTCGGTCTCGTGATGACACATTTCGTGTCATAAGCTATATGGAAATTCTTGTTAACATTTTTACAAATATCAAGCATATTACATTTGCTTCTATTAAAAACCAATCTTGAATATAGTAAGATATTTCTATCACTTGTAAGATTGGTTTATGCTAAATTTGCCTCATATGAAAACACTATTAAACTAAAGATGAACATATGAAGAATATTATGTCATAATAAATTCACTTAGTGTTGTTTGCTTGTATCTTCCCATCGTTGTTTAGGACTGCGGTTGATGAGGTACATCCAGCTGACGAGTCCCGATTAGAACGAAACGCGAGTCCTGGATTCCACTGCTAATCACTATCCATCTTTTTTATATATTACTTACTTACTTACGCTTGTTTCTCCCAATGGGGCATAGGCCGCCGATCAGCATTCTCCAACCCACTCTGTTCCGCGCCTTCTTTTCTAGTTCCATTCAATTCCTGTTCATTTTTCTCATGTCTATTTCTATTTCCCGGCGTTCTTTGGTCTTCCTCTTTTCCTTTGGCCTTCAAGATTCTATGTGAGGGCTTGTCTTGTGACGTAGTTTAGTGCTTTCCTCAATATGTGTCCTATCTACTTCTAGTGCTTCTTCCTGATTTCTTCCTCCGCCTGGATTCCCTCCGGGGGCTACTGTTGGTCCTAAGCCTGGATAAAGGAGGAGGGTTGGGCATGGGGTTAGCGACCCCATCCCATGGAAAACTAACTCGGTAAAAAAACGCCAGCCAGAAAAAATTATTCGAACCTTTTTCATATATCATAATAATTAAATATAATTAAATATATAAATCACTAATAACCCACAATTAAAATAATCCTGTTTTTTTGGGATAATATAACATTGTGTCATAATTATAACTTTAGTCGTTTAGATCCATAAATTTTTTTGTTACAACTATACACTAATAACTGGAGAGAAACACATATTTGGTTTTTTTTCGTTGTTTGTACCATTTTAGAAATGCATTTTTCAGGGAAAACACGGCATATAATGCAGAAGGTCAAAGACTAGTAGAGAGATGATTTATATTTAGAATTAACAGTGAATCTTTTGAAAACTCGAATTTCTATTCAGATTCGCTAACAGCTATGTTATGGGGATTAGAGTAATTGACTACAGTATTTTTTACATACATGTTAAAGATTTAGTCATTCATTAATGGTTAAGTAGTATCACAGCATATTAGATAAATATCAGTTAAAATGTTGGGAGACAATCCAGACAAAAACCAGATTACTCTTTGTAGCTAAAAGAACGTGTATTAAAATTTATCATTTGACAGTGATTATCATTACGAACCAATGGTGAGCTAGAACAATAAATATAGTTGTGAGCATCATTTTGTGTAGTTGAGAAGAAATTAGTGGTATTGTAAGCAAAAGTGGTAATTACATTTTATGAAACAAACCATGCAAAATCGTAATATTTTGAATCGATTAGAAAATTGAATCCAAATCGATTGGAACGGAATCATATGTATGAAGTGTTTTAATGATTTCATTCGAATTTCTTAACATAATAAACGTTATTATAGCCATGATATGTATATATAATTAACTCATAGTATTTAGTAACGGTTAAGTTTAATACATAGAATTATCATTTAGTTTTTCTCCATTTGTTCTGCACATGAACTAATTAACATTACAATCAGTAATAAAGAAAGAATTAAGCAAAACTCTTTAAACAATGGGTGCTGCATCAAGTGTTCATGGAGGTGGTCGTAAAAAGAAACAAAATGTTATGGAGACACGCGAATTAAAAACTTCAGGTAATACTATCTCTGACTTTATCAATGGTAATGCTTCTTGATTTTATACGAAATTTATTAAAATATTTTTTTTTCTGTAATGAGTGCTGAGTATGGAGAAGTTAAAAGTAAAATTAATGGTGTAAATATGTCACTAATATAAAAAAAAGCTCCAACTGTTTTACCTTCAATAATAGTAGTCTTGATAGTTTTTCTGAAAAAATTCAAACCAGTTTATCAAGCTGAAAGTTGGAACTTTTAAATTTCAAACTTTGAGATTTCCTTAGACATAATTCCATTTTTAGTTCATAGATGGATTTCAGCATATATTCCTAGGGATTTCTAAGCCGATGTATATGATGTGATAAACTCAGTTATATAATGTGTAATTTTTAATCTACAGAAAGTCCAAATAAACTGTCTCCAACATATGATACATGATATTCTTGTCTTATAAAATCTAATCATTACAATCTAGTTTAAGTTGCTACTTTTAGTTTCATCAAACTAATAGATTGATGACTTGGAGATGAAACTGTTAATATGTTTGAACGAATTTCTATGGTTAACAAGTGTTATATATAGAAAGGGATAACAGAATAGTAAACAGAATAAAAATGAATGATTTTGAAACACAGGTACCAATTCATCAATTAAGGGGAATTAGAGCCAAGGAAGGATGAGAGGTTGGACGATGTGAGGTGTAGCAATATAATCTGATGTGCATTTGTACTAGTCCATACGATACTATGACTAATAGTATTATTTGAAAAAATGTACTTCATTAAAATGAATTCCCATTTACACATTATTTATAATGATACCCTCAATTTGCCTTAAAGAAGTGACTCACTAGTTATAGTACATGATTTTAAATTACAAAGTAGTTGTTTGTAGTGCATGAAACTAAACTTACATAATATTATTCATCTAGCTTAGTAAATTATTCTCAGTTTAATGAAATCTACATTTTACAGTTTATAATTACACTGACGAAATAATTTACATTTAAAGTTATATTAGATAACTTTTAATTATTGAACAATAAATAATTCGTAGATGGTTAATTGTAGAACATAGTACAGATTAGTGATAGGATCCGTCACTAATTGACTTTGGTTAATGATACAGATTAACTGAAGATGATCATTGCATACCAACATCATAATCTAGTTTGAGAGTAGTCACAACCCATATGACTTTATTCTCTCTCTTTCTTCATAAATTGAGTTTTGTGGTAACTGAATACATATTATTCTTTTATTTTATTCTTCTCAAGCTACGTCCTTTGAATAACGTTTATTTAGTTATTTGTTTTTCTAAATAGCTTGAATATGGAATGTAGCAACTTATATCAAATCTTATTGTGTTTGTTATTGAACAATAGTTCAAAGTTATTAAATCTTTTTCCCCATAGCAATTTACAGATATTTGTGTAGTTTGGTAATTATGGCTTTTATTTTCAAATGACATTAACTTATTGAGAACTATCGGGTGTTGAATAGTTGTTTGAAACTCTTCACTAATGATAACACACTTATTCTATCAAATATTATACCTCTATATTACTTAGTAATGCTTATCAGAGTTTGTTCTACTCATGTAGTCAAGACCTATTGTTTCACGTTTTAAAATATTATTGATTTACACATGCTCTCATGGACCATTCAGAGATAAAACACTACATAATTTTTCATCAGTTTTATAGAATGTATAGGTTAGAGACAAAAACACAAAAAAAGCCCAATAAAAATCGCTACAATATATACCTGAATTGAATTTGTGATGGTTTGAATTAACCGGCTATTAATATTCTTTAATGAATTTTAACATAAGTGACTTCTGTACGAATTTATGCACTGCTGAGGCATTAGCAATCCACGAACTCAAGCCCGAACCTTGCGTGCAGAAACGATTCATCCAATCTCTCATCCTTCCTCGGCTCTTATTCTCTTCATTGATGAATTAGAACCTGTGTTTCAGAATCATTCATTTTCATTCTATTTTAAATAGGCAAGAATAGGAAACCCAATTCAAGATGGTTAAGCATATCAAATAAAGATCTACTAAGACTTTACGTAGTTTAATAAAAGCGATTATTGTCGATAAATTTCACAGTATTTTTTTTTCAAGCGGATTCAAATAGTTACAGAATAATACAAGATTTCACACTGGTTAATCACTAAAACAGATACTTTATACAGAATGAAATGATGATGATGATGGATGAATACGATGGACTTAATAAAAAAGGCTTATGTGAAGGTATAGCACTCATAATAATGGAAATAATAAAAGATTGATTAAATTCCTGTGAGTTATTAACTGATCTGCTGACATTTTGTAATAAAGTCGAAGTTATTTCTTCTGTTAATAAGTAAATATTATTAATAAAATTCTTGTTACCTATGAAGAATACAACAAAAGACAGTAACAAAATTACCATTGATGTTTATACATGGATGCATTCGGGAAGTTATCTAGCCATTAAATAGTTATGACACAACTATTCATTATCCTATAACATATCACGAAGTCACTCATTCACAACTTTTCCTATTTAATTTCTAAGTGGATACGAACCTCAAGGCTTCATTTCTTTCTAAATTGCGTATAATAATTTCGTCTCAAAATGATAGTTTATTATGTTCATAAATAGGGCATCTAACCTGTGGTATACCTTGATAGTGTTCTCGTGACTTTTAGGTTACCTGATCTGCCAATAGCGACAGGACAGTGCATGACGGTATTGTTGTATGCTAGATTCAAAGAGATATGTATGCTATATGCACGCAAATTCACCCCCGTTTATGTTCATAAATATCAAAATTTGTTCTAATTCACTTTTGTCTTGTATTTTTAGCTGAGAATATAAATAGAGAAAATGAAAATCGTTTAGAAGCTGAACATGGTAAAGGTACATTCTTATTAATAATAATTTAACATTCTTTTGAAATTTGTTATTATAACGTAACTGTATATGTAGATTTTTCTTTAAAATCGCGTATTATATGATATTCTCCAAATGTTTTAATGGACTGTCATATAACTAATACTACATCCCATATTAATAACTAAATAAATACGAAATAAAAATGTGAATTCAAAGGAAAAAACAATAAAATATGGTGCATTAACCGGTCAAGCTACTTCCTTAGCATACATGTATACTCACTTGGTTTTGTTTGGCTTGTATCTTCCCATTGAGTTTTAAGACTGCAATTGGTCAGTCTGTTATTGCCATATGTGCATATTGTGTGTATGCCTCGATATTGCTTTAATTCACAAGTTTTTTGTACGCAATGATGGATAGTGGTACATCCAGCTGACCAGTCCCAAATAGGACGAAACGCACTTCCTGGATTCCGCTGCTAGCCACTATCCATTATTGCTTACAAAAATACATGTGTACTGTTGTAAAAGCAAATTTAAAGAGATAATCATAAGTCGTTTGGAAAACACCATGCATAGAAAGAGATCAGACAAGCTTTATTAGTTATAATGTGATAACTGATATTAATGTAACATGATTTATGAAATATGGATGTGTTTAGTATTTGCAAGTGTTTTTTGAATTTTGATTTCAATATATTTTCATCATAATCTTTTTTAGCAACTAATAAAGCTGGAGGAACAGATCACTGTATAAGAGCAGATAATAAAGCTGCTATTGTTGTTCATGGATGTACAGAAGAATATCAAACTCTAGCTGATGAATTGCCTGAAATCATTATGAAAAAAATCGGACCTAATATGATAGCTCATCCTATGATCTTAGTAAGCAATTTAAAAATGCGTCAATGAATGAATTTACAATTTAGTTTATAAATTCATATTCTTACAAATAATAAATATCATAGATTGGTTGAAGCTAAACATTAACACTGTTGGATGTCGGCTCAGTGGTCTAGAAGTTAAGCGTTCGCACGTGAGACCGACAGGTTCTAGGTTCGAATTCTGCGAGCCGGGTCGTGGATGAGCACTGCTGATGATTTCCATACTAGAACAAAACGATCGTTAGGTGCTTCCAGGTTTTTCATGGTGGTTTAGCTTTAATTGACTCATGAATTCAACCACTAAATTACTGAAATTTCCATAAAAGCCCCTTCTGATAATAAATGTTTGTACAAGACAGAAAATATTGAATAAGTGACATGAATATCTGATAAACGAACTATGAGGGTATTAGTTACTCATGAGTGTTTATTAAATAGGTTGTAAAAAAATAATGAAAGTGATAATTAATAAGCATAATTCAAATGTACATAACAAGTGAAGTTCTTGTGATCTTAAACAGATCAGGTTGATAAAGAAGGAACGAATTGAGCGAAGAAAATTCTTTTCAATTAGTTTTTCATCATGGCTCTACACTAATATATATACGTTTTACAATAATAATATAATACTCATCGAGTGGATACGTTACGTAATAATTACATAATGACATTTAAATTAACAATAATTAATTGGAAGAAAGAGGATTATTAATATTCAAAGTGATCAAGAAGTTGCTAAGTTGCGTAATGTAAGAAACAAAGAAGGAACAGAATTTTAACGGATGGTCAATAGGATGGTAGTTACGTAAGAATCAAGAGATGAATGTTGAGAAGTTATAAGGCTCAAAAGTGATAGAAACAAAATTACAAAAATTTTAAAATAAATAAAATAAAAATGGAAGAAGTATGAAAAATAGTTATTCTGACGGAAATGTTATACTGAAGGCCAGGGGAGAGAAAGTGGTTGTACGAATTTCTTTTGGATGCAAAGGTCAGGTTTGTGAAGATGGATTGCGATGGCTTCCGCAATGTGCAAAAGGCGCACTCGTAAACCATGTGGTAGATTTGATGGAATATTGTAGATAACCTTAAAAGCTTTATTCACTTCGACTTGATGACCTGTGTCAATTTTTGTAATTTTGTTTCTATCACTTTTGAGCCTTATAACTTCTCAACATTCATCTCTTGATTCTTACGTAACTACCATCCTATTGACCATCCGTTAAAATTCTGTTCCTTCTTTGTTTCTTACATTACGCAACTTAGCAACTTCTTGATCACTTTGAATATTAATAATCCTCTTTCTTCCAATTAATTAATGTTAATTTAAATGTCATTATGTAATTATTACGTAACGTATCCACTCGATGAGTATTATATTATTATTGTAAAACGTATATATATTAGTGTAGAGCCATGATGAAAAACTAATTGAAAAGAAATTTCTTCGCTCAATTCGTTCCTTCTTTATTTACCAGATCAGGTTGAACAACATAAACACATAAACAAACTTATATTAGTGTATATAACTGATATCAATACAGTTTTTAATACGTTGCATAGAAATCGTCAAGACTGAATTCTTAATTTTATCGAAGACTTGACTGTTCGCAAATTCAAACAGCTCCTTATGTATATAAGAATAACTTGTTATAACTTTAAATCTACCCTGGCAATCTTTAAGTCATTTTATGGCTATGGGTAATTAGACCGTTTTCTATTCTTTCCATAATATGTTAATTTTCTATCTTTTATTAACAATGATCATTTTTCTTGCTTGAATTTTGTTTAATTGACCTTCAGAAGTTTTCAAATAAAATGCCTTTACAACTATATGTGATCAGATTGTTTGAAATGTCTAAAGTAAATACACTGTAATTTTCAGGTCAACTCCATCTTCTTATTGTTCTGTCATGACGCATAGATGTTTGATGTAGAAGCTTTGATACAGGATCCGATTATCGCATAGTGTGATATCTAGCAATGAATCAGTTAAAGAAATGATAAGAATGGAAACTCCAATAATCTATGAACAGAAATGTCATCCAAGATCTTATAGTTAAAGGGCATTTAAACAAGAATGTCAAACTAGCTGAGTTATAGAAGGATTATATTTTTGAACTTGCTTAGCGTTTTTTAGCGCGTTAGTTTTCTACGGGATGGGGTCGCTAACCCCATGCCCAACCCTCCTGCTTTATCCGGGTTTGGGACCGGCAGAAGCCCCCAGAGGTACTCCAGGCGGACGGACGGATTATATTGATAAGCATTAAATAAGACTGAACATGAAATCTGGTTTTTCTTGTTAATTAATATCAAATGTGACAAAGGAGTTGGTTTTCCAAAGATTTAATTAACTTTACCAGTTAGAATACCAAACCATGAAATTAATGACTGAGTTGAATGATTAGCAAAAAGGAGAAAAATTAATCAAAAATTCTGAGTCAAGATTTACAGCTTTTATGAATAATTTTGATGATATGATCTACTTTGAGCTTGATGACCTAATTAGAGGGCTTTCATTGTCGTTCTGGAAAACACTCATACATGAATTTGTAGGTAATAATATCAAGGTCGGACTTGTCAGTTTCGAATAACTTGAGCATTGGTAGAAAGTTAAAGTGAATATATTTTTTAAATAAGAAAGATTAATTCAGCGAAGAGTTCTCTTTTCAGCAACTTCATTTTCAAAGCTGTACAATCACAAATATATTTACTTATTTTACAGGATGATAATAATACTGATAATAAACTTCTGTTAGACATGGTGACAGTGAGGTAACATAAACAAAGGTATTAAAAAAAATTTTAAAACAAGGAAAGTTTACCAATCATTTAATTGTTAATGGCTTAAGTATTCATCAAAAGATAAATGGGGGAATTATTATTGAGAAAGGATGGCTCAGCATGATAAGATAAAATGTTGAAATTGAGATTAAATGTAATCAGAATGATCGTGGAAACAAAAATAAACCAGTTGAGGGTAGAGGATTTAAGGGGAAGATGGAAGGTGAAGCAGATGGTTGTAAAGGAAGAAGAGTATGAAAAAGAGAAAGAAAATTATAAGACATTAAGACTATGGTAAAGGAAGAGGTTGTACCAGTTTCTTTTGCACACACAATTCTAGTTTGTCCAGATGTATGGCTAATGCTTCGGCAGTGCAAAGAAGATGCAATCTAATTGTCTTTGGTGGACTTCTACTTACCTTGTAGACGACTTTGAACGCAGAGTCTGTTTTGATTGAGTGACCTGTGTTCACAAAGTGTTCGATTAATGAACTTCTTATCGAGCCGTTGTCTCCTCTTTTTAGTCACGCCTGACAATATTCTTGAATTCTTTTGGACAAAGTATATTTTTGTTACATCCCACTGAATAGAAAAATATATTCATTATTAATTTCCACATGAAGTATGTGCTGATAATGTTGAACAGTACGATAATCAAAGCTCTGCAACTGAACCATCTGGTTCTGAAAAAGTAATATTATCAGAACTTAACATTATCTACTAAACCAAACGGATTACCAAGAGCTTAACTATCTATTCTAAACCATACAGAAAAAATAAGTTAAGATAAACCAAATATACTGAAAGATAATGATGATAATTATGCATAAACTGGTAACATCGGTAGAACCGTCTAACATCAATGAATACTAGACATTTTTCTCACGTTTAAAGTTAATCATAGAATGGTCGTGTGTTGTTTATTATTTATGCATTTGTTTTTCAGACAAAATTGTTTACGTTTCATATAATTAGCCATATAATTGATATGAATTACAAACTCATCCACGCAATGAAATCAAAAATATACTTTAAACAGTTAATATATGATAAATAAATAATATGTTTGTAATATATCAATGAGTAGAAAATTAGATTTTCTGACGTTTCGTGACTTAGTGTAAGTCACTTCTTCAGAGAATAAATAATATATGATTTAGAAAATGTCATAAAGTAAATATAAACTACATAATTGTAGTAGCAAACAAAACAATTTGTGAACTCATCGAGTAATTAAAGTGTATATTACCATCTAATCGCGTATTTCACGAATAGTCCGCTTAAAATGAGGTAGATTTAGTTTAATAACTGAAATACCCAGTCACTTTTATTGCATTTTAGGCAATGTGTCTTTTAACTGAACATATTATCGATACATAAAACATTGATAATCTTGGATCTTTGTTCATTGATAAGACATATGAATGCTAGTCAACACTATTATTTAAATAATAAGACCAATTTTTATATTAAGTGACTTGTGATCATATATTTATAGGCATTATTCTGACATTAGAGTGATTGAAGACAATTAACGAGCAGTGGTAGGTTATAGATTAGGTAGCTCAGCTGAAATATGTATCACATTGAAGCGAGATGATGCAACAAGAAGCATCACATAAACATTAGTTCCCTCAACATTATAGATTTACCTTGCTAAAAAGTGCTTATTATTATGATATCTATGTCGAACATCATTTCATATCGATTGTCACCAACTAGCTAACATCTATTAATAATTCATGCTATGTTGAGTTATTTTGACAGGTGATTATACTGTTACTACACTAAACTACAAGACGAATAATAAAATAGTTAATACTCCGTGATCAGTTATTCTGAATAGGTATCATTGTAATAATTACCTTTTAAAGAGATTATTTGTCATATAAGACAAAAACCTATAAACTGTAGCCAGTAAATAGTACTGAAATTTTGTCAGTCGAGAATGATTCGAAAAGTATTGATGTAGTTTATATTTACATATCTGCATGATACAATAAAAAAGTTTTTTAAGAAGGTAGGTTATAAACGTGTAAACTATCTGTTCTCATATTATTATTATAGAAGACGTTTTCGTAAACAATTAGTCGAATACTTGTTAAATAAGTTATGATCATAGACAGCACATTGAAAGTCATTGTATTAATTCTCAGCATAATGTACTGAACTGAAAAAACGATTTCAAATAATAGTCTTTAGAATCATGGATATTAAGTTTACATCACATTATTGTTTTAATTGAAGTATATCGTTGACACGAAGCTAACGTTACAAGTAGTTTTATATAATGTAATAGCTTAGCTTATGTCTGTCACTCCTTATAAAGCATAGGCCGACGAACAGGTCTCACTAATCTATTCCGTCCTCTGCTCTCCTTCCAACTTGTTACCAAGTTTTATTCATTCTTTTGATATCTACCTTCCTTATTCTATCTCATTTTCTTCTTCCTCGAAGATTTCAAGTTGAGGCTTGCTTTCTGATAAAGTTCGGTGATTACCGCAATTTGTGCCTTGTCCACCACCCAGAGTCTTTTTCTAATTTCCTGTTGAGCTGTAGGCTGGTTAGTTCCCTGCCTCAGTAGGTTGTTGCTGATGATATCTGGCCAATAGACCTGAAGTTTCTTGCTCACACAACTATTTATAAATAAATGTAGCCATATAAAGTACTATATATATATATATATATATATATATATATATGTATATATATATATATATATATATATATATATATATATATATATATATATATATATAGAAACGAGTCTAATATTCACAGCCATTTTTTGTAAGTATTCTTAACTTGGTTTATTGTCACTATAAAATAAGATTTAAACTGACTATTATCCACATTATTAGAAACTATATTCTGATTGATACACTACATAAATATTGTAGTGAACGATTGGCAATACATACTACTTATATCTATCGATAACAGTAGCACATACCACAATATTATACTAAATATTTAAACTTTTCTAATAAATCATTTACTAATTTGAGCTTTAATACGTTCTAAGCATAATATATAATTTAGAGAAAAAAACTAATACATTATTACCGTTATGATTGATTGATATTTATTTACAAAAATATTTATTTAAAATAAACAGGGTAAATATTGTCTTGTCAGAGATAGTGAAGATGAATGTGATCATCTATTACGAGTACCAATTGATGAACACAGAAAAGTTACAATACAAAAATCTAAATTACAATTACCTCTTTATGGTTTATCTCAACCAACATTTGAACAGATTAAAAAACAAATTAATGATTTACAACATAATGTAAGTGAATAAATTTATATAAAATATGTATAGATATTTATTTATTACTGACAGTATATATATATATATACTACTTTATATAGCTACAGGTATTTATAAGTAGTTGTATATATATATATATGCAAAAGAGTGGAAATAGACTCGTTCGATTACTGTTTAATGAATCCGTTTGTATATGTTTAGCCATTATTAAACATGATCATATTTTATGTAATTATGATTTTATATTGTTTTTTTCTTTTGGATTCGTTAACGTATGTTATATTATACACTAATGATAAGTGATAGTTAATTAATTACAAAGTGAAATGATTACATTTTGTAACTAAGAAGTTCCTTATTATGTACTGTTTGAACGTTAGATGTTGGTTGGAGGTAGTCGACAGGAAACCCTGGACCCGGGTTTCGTGCTACTTGGCGCTCGTCAGCAAGGTGTACCTGTAATCTTGAGGGAACTGGTGCTCCCTGGTGGATTCGATCACGTGTGTCAATATCAATTATTTGTGATTACATCTCAGTCCTAAAGGAAGTCAGTCGCGGCACAGATAGCTCAGTGGTAACGTCTCAGACTGTGAAGCTGGGTGATACGAGATCGAATCCGCCAGGGAGCACCAGTTCCCTCAAGATTACAGGTACACCTTGCTGACGAGCGCCAAGTAGCACGAAACCCGGGTCCAGGGTTTCCTGTCGACTACCTCCAACCACCATCTAATCTCAATATATAGTGCACGCAGGGTCGAGTCACCTAGACTGGTGAGCCACATTACAACATGGTCGATAGCATTCGATCTGCACTAACTAAAGACTTGACACGCATGACATTGGTCACCACCCAGTGATCAATCAATTGTGACTGTTTGAACGTGCTTTTTTCCATTCTAAAACATGATATTTTGATATTCTTATTAGACAGTTATGTAAACTATGAACTGAAATAATAGAAACTTATTTTCAGTTGACTATTTATTTCCACATCTATTATCTTGAAATGAATGTTCAAGAATGTAGGATTTTACTTTGTCAATTGATTAGATATGTCAATACAATAACAGAATTGGTGAATTAAATGTTAGTAACAACGTGTAATAACTTGCCTTATCATGAAATGATAATTATTTGAGTAGAAAACGTAATAGTTTATGTTGTTAAGCTATTACTAGAAAAATTATGAACTATATTGAAATTACACTAAAAAGAAGTGATTTCATTAAAAATATCAGACTTCTCAAAATTTTCAATATAACCTATTGATATTTATTGAATAGCATGAAATTTAGTTTCAAGTATTCATGTCTATTCATAATTTGAATCACTAACCATCCAAGTAAAATACACTACCACATTGATTGACTTATATTAGTGTTTAAATTACAACTTGACTCGTAGAACTCAATAAGGATTGTTGATGACTAGATAATCACGAAATTAAGTCAATTATTTGATATTAAAGTATGCTTTATTTATTTACTTACACCTGTTACTCCTTATGGAGGAGCATAGTCCGCCCACCAGCTTGATTTATAATATGATAAAGAAATTCTGATATGAGCAACGTTTCAAAAACGTTACAGATCATGAAACATTAGTACTGTCACACAATGCAGTAATATATGAAAAAATGTAAACAAATCTAATAAAGGAAAAAAACAAAGTTAATGAAATAAAAATTGGTTGACGCCTAAATAGTTTAATTGATTATCTTTCTAAAAAACGATATATATTTAGTTTTATTTACATTCTCGCTACATTTAATTATTATCAGAATTTTAATAATTGAATTCCCGAGTCTATGTAAGCTAGATCATGATTGAAAATCCCGAACCACTGGATCACTGTTTCGTTATATTATGGGACTTCTCAGCTGTGCACATCTACAATCCCACACGCAAGACTCGAACCCAGGACCTTTGATCCCGTGCATGGACGCTTAACCTCCAGACCACTGATCGGACATCCAACGGTGTTGTCTAACTTCAGTCGATCTATGATCTTGCACAACACATTATCCATTGTTTGAAGTGGATAACTGTTTCCACCCGACACGGGTTGAACTTCACTGGATCGATTGAGGTTAGACAATAACACTAATGGATACGGAACTGGTGTTCTAGAGGTTAAGCGTTCGTGTGCGAGACCGAAGGTTCTAAGTTCGAATCCTCTTTGTGGGTTCGTGGATGTGGATCGCTGAGGATTCCCACACTGGGACGAAACGATCATCCACTGCTTACAGGTTCTCAATGGTGATCTTGGGCATGTCGGCTCACGAATTCAACATTTTAAATATGTGGTTGAGTTATTACCTCAAAATCATCTAAAATCAAATTGAATATAATTATACCGAATAGATTACTTTTAATTAAATCAAATTGTTAAACATTAAAGAGGAGAATATTTTCTTTGAAAAAGCTTGAACCAGATTGCCGGGCGAAATTTTGGATTTACTTCTAATTCTTTCGCTGAGATTTTACAAATACATTCCTCCTCTTTAATGTCTCACATTAACTCGGCGCCTAAATACGAAAGTTCTCATAAATTGTTAAACAGTTTTTAATTACTCGTTTCATTTACATTTATTTTCTTTCTCCTTCTTTCTTTAAAGAAATGTTTAGTTGTCAATGTACGAAGCGATCCATGCCTTTTTACATTTGATTCAAATGACTGGCTTCCGTATGCTATAAGGGAGTATGATTCAATTCAAAATGTTGTGGAAAATCAACATCAGTCAGGAATAGATTTACAGGATATGGAAGTAAAGTGTCGAGAAGATGTATGTTCACATTATGCTCATTTTTTTATGTTGTTATCTAATATAAATTATTACAAGACTTATTTAAAGAAAACAATGAGTTTTAACTATGAATAGTTGAATCTTTATTATATACTATTTGAAAAGCAGCTGATTTGTTAGTACTACCTAACATAGCCCATTTAAACGTGATAGATTTGGAATGTAAATTTTTTCTAACCTCTAATATGATTTTTTGACAACTATTTGATCTCCATACCGAAAGGTTTTTAAATCTATTTTTCGATAATGCAGTCAGACTTATGTGATATATTTGCGCAATACACTCTGGATAATAAATCAGTATTTCCAAAGTAGGTTAAGTGTAAGGACAAATTTTTTTTGAACGCACAAAGAGGATTTCAGTTTCCGTATAGCCAAGGCTTCAATAAATTTTAGTATATATCCTTGAAAGCTTTTGTATAACACTACAAATGCTGAGTTGATGTCAGCCTTATGACCAGTCTCAATCAAATGTTTCGCAATGGAGGAAGATATCTGTTTATCCTGTGATCTTATTTGACCATTGGAATTCATTTGCTTCTGAATCCATTTCCGTATGTGTCCACCTACCCTTAATTGCAAATTATGATTGCTCCTCCCTATGTATGTGTTTCCCCACATACATGTAAATTGATAGACACAATAGGATGTGACACAATCGCTTACGTGCTGCTTGGGCTTTTGGTGAAACATAGACCTTGTCTTGCCAGTAATGACAAGTTGGGCTGCATAAAATATCCTGTTGATAGCTAATTTAAGTCTCCGTTTCAACATGAGACTATTTGTGTCAATTTTAAATGGTAACATAATGTAAACTCCCTTTTTGGGTGCCAGAAACATCATCGGTCTAACCGTATTGCAACTCTTCCAGCAGTTTATGAACTTCAATGAATAACCATTATTCATTAACGTCTCAGTCAAGAGCTTCGTCTTTACTTCAGGAGTATCGCTAGTACAAATACGGTTGATACTATTGCATAAGCCCTTTATTAATCCACGTTTGTAATGAATTGGGCATTGACTATGGAAATTAAGATCTTTCCCTGTCCGTGTTGGCTTTCTATATATAGAAAGTTTGATGGAACAATCATTTCTCCTACTAATCAGTATGTCTAGATAAGGAAGTTGGTTGTTCTTCTCTTAATTTTCATATAAAAATGTCTTAACAAGTTTATGTGTGATCAGATTGTTCGAAATGTATTGAACAAATATATCACATAATTCTGATAAACTTTGTCTTCTCATTGGATTATTGAAATTTATCAAAGTAATTAATCGTCTTAAATCTATTTTATTCACGAATTCATTAAAATTTAAATTACAAAATGATCGCTGAACTGTTAAAGCTATGTCAGTATTGAAAGTTAACTAATATTCTGTAGGCCTAATCAAAACGGATTCTCAGTGGTTAATAAAGTATCTGAATAAAATCAAAACTTGATGAAATCTAAATTATTTCAGGATAATATCTGAAAAAAACACCATAAAAATGTTAGTTTATGGTTTTTGATAATAATAATAATGATAGTAATAATAATCACAATAGACGCTAATAGATATATTTTTATGTCTCCAAATTGTTTACTATTAGTAACCGCTACAATGTCCATACTTCTGCAAAAATAGAAAGAAAATTCATTCATTTAACAATAATGTTTTTTTAAAATTCACTTGGCATTATTTATTTGAATTTTCCCATTGATGTTTAAGACTACAATTGATCAGTCTGTTATTGGCATTTGTGCATACTGTGCGTATTGCCTCGATATCGCCTTAATTCACAAGCGTTTTGTAAGCAATCATGGATAGTGGCCAGCAGTGGGATCCAGGACAAGCAAGTGGCTATCAGGGTTCAGTAGCTAAGCCGATCACGCGATGGCATTTGGGGTGAATGGCAGTGGGTTGGTGTCGCAGAGTGAATAACAACTCTGAGAAGCAGGTACATCCGGCTGACAAGTCCCAAGTAAGACGAAACTCGCGTCCTGGATTCCACTGCCAGCGACTATCCATCTTTGATAATACTGTTTTTTTCTTTATGTTCAACGATGCTTATGACAAGTATCATAATCTTTATCATAATTAATATTTCAAGTTATGGATCTATTTTAGTTACTGGGATGGATCTATTTTAGCTTGAATTACATTTTTGATTTCAATTAACAATACTATATTTTATAAAGATTTGTAGTGTCGGTTACTATGTTATGCCCATATAACTTATTCTAGCTTTTGGACAGACCAATTTATCAATTCTTCTTGAGTCACGTTTTGACTTTGTTAAATATTCACTTATCAACCTTGAATGTTCTTATATGAGCGTATGTGTTTACACTTCTTATCCCATTCATCACATGTCTGTAACTTATTTTTGTGTGACTATAAATATCGACTAAGCCTTGATTGAGTTGTCTCACACGCCTCCTCCACCAGGCATTATTACATTTCACTTAGTTTCTTTGATCATTTGTCTCGACCAACAAGTGTATAAAATATATCTATTCAAACATCCATTCTAGTATTTGACTTAGTTACTTCCTTTATTCACTAATGCTAGTGAGGTCAATCATTATATACGAGGATTGGCGACATATATATTTCAACAACCATTCATATGATCTAAATGAAGTAAGATCCCGGGGCCACCAAACATTTAACTTAAATAATAAACTGATTAATAAATACAAAATTTATCCCATCATATTTCAACATTAAGGTTAATCAATCATACTATTTAAATTATAATTGAAATTTTCATACATTATTTATTTACAACTATACTACTGTAGTGAACAAGAACACCATTGGCGACAATCGAATATATTTGACACACAATTACAGGACTTGTTAATAAAATCTAACAATCAAATAGTAAATACGTAATTTACAAAATGTCCATCAATTGTCTCATAATCACTCAAACTTCATTGTTCTTGCATTTTCATACAAATTGCATTCTGTTCCCATTCTTTACTGTTCTATCCTCTTGTCTCTCTGCTGCCAGACCTTCTGTTCACAACTAACATTATATACTACTTATGTCAATATAAGTAACACACACCACACTACTTTATTATAAGTAATGCCTTGTATTTAGATGTTATTTTCCTGAATTTTTTTCATATTATTTTCATTGTATTTAATTAGGTAATTTCAATAGTTAAAGCTAAAAGAGAAAGTGTATTTTATTTTTATGATGATATAACATTTTTTGAAAATCAACCAATTGCACGTATAGCTACAGCACCTGATTATTTATTAGTTGGAGAAGAAATCTACAATGGAGCAATTGTTGGTAAACATGGTATACGGTAAGTTAAAGTGATTGTTATTTTATTGGGTTTTTTTAATTGAGATCATGAATCTAGCGACGTTAGACCGTCATTGAAAACCTGAAAGAACTGAATGGTCATTTCGTCCTCCTTAACAGTGCTCATCGCACGCGGAATCCAAACCCAAAACACTCGGTCTCACACATGTACGCTTAACCTCTAGACTACTGAGCCAGTACCCAACGGTATTGGTGTTTAATTTCAACCAGACCCAATATTTTATTATAAAAATAATAATTTGGTTTTCAAATGACAATTAGACTAATTATATAATATGTATATACTGTAGAATTATTTATTAAATGATAGTTTAATCATAATGAACCGAACTTAGTTGATAAATAATTGCAGATTTAATAGTTGTGAATAGATGTGTAACTGTCCGCTAAGAAATAATAAGTTGTCTTGGAAATTAGAAAGATTTATTAGATAATTAATTAAAAGTACTTTTTTGTAAAGCTAGAATAATGAGTAGTCGCGGAATGAAATGAATTTATTTTATTTTATATTCTTTTAATCTTCCATATACATATTGACTCTTATCAATACGCGCAGCTGAGGAGTCTCATACTAAAACGAAACGGTCGTCCAGTGGCTCCAAGTATCCCATAGTGGTCTAGATTCTATGGATACATGAATTCAACTATTAAATTATTATCATATCCACAAAAACCCCTTTTGTTAATAATCATCATATACTCACTAGTGACTGGCTTCAAGAGGTATTTCCTGGAGTTCTAGTGAGAAGTAGTGTCCAGTGGAGTTCATTTAGGTTTGTTGTGAGATAGTAGCTCACTAAAGACAATGGTGGATAGTGGCTCAGTTTCGTGGATTAGTTGAAGTTAGAAATTAACACCATTGGATACCATCTGACTCAGTGGTCTAGAGGCTAATTGCTCGCGAGTAAGTCTGATAGGACCTTGGTTTCGGATCCCGCGGTGAGGGATCGTAGATGCACACTGGTGAGGGGTCTGATAGTAGGACGAAACAACCATTCAGTGCTTTCAGGTCTTCCATGGTGGTCTAGCGTCTATGGACTCATGAATTCAACTGTTAAATAAATAAAGTGTTTTACAAATGTAATTTGTTGTGTCACATATATAAAACCATTTGGTTTATTAGTGAAAAAGAATTCTAAATATTTTTATTTTATTATTCACATAAGTTCGATTTATAAGTAAAAAGCCATGAAGTAAGAAATATATGTAATTTGTTGCAAATATTAAATTTTAAATGATGAAGTGATAGTTATTACCAAAGAACATTGATCAAGTAATCATAAGAGTGGTAATAATAATATTAGTGTAGTGAACGAGAACATCAATGGGGACAATCAAATGTATTTGATTTCAAAATTACAGAACATCTTAGTAAAATCTGAGAACTATACAATAAATACTTCATTAGTAAACTGTCAATCAATTGTCTCAGACTTGATTGTTCTTTCGTTCCCACACTGATCATTCTTTTTTCTCACCCTCTTCTCTTCGATCTTCTTAACCTTCTGTCGCCAGGCATTTCACTTTCGATTGATGATACATATTACTTATATCTGTCGACATCAATAGTACACGCCATATTAATAATGACAATTACAATTGAATAGGACATAAGAAAACGGATGTAGTTCTATGTCTAAAATGATCATAAGTCAAGAATTTTCATTGGAATAATGTTAACACAATAAAATAAATTATAATAACTATAAATTAGAAACAAAACAAAAGCTAGACTTGAATGAAAAATCGAAATGTTGTGAGAAAATAAAGATAAGTTCGAACAAAAAAGACTGAGAAAAAAGGCTGAGAAGGGCAAACAATCAATTGATCATCATCATAGCAACAAATGGAATAAAAATTCATTTTTTTATATACATCATTTGAGTTTTTATACAATAAACAGATTCTATAACAAACTGAAGTGAATTCAATTCACTTCGCAATGTTTATTATTATTGCTATACAAAAGTTTATCAAAAGAGGTATTTGTTTCGATAGAACAATGAAAAGACGGAGTTGATCTGAAAAATGTGATGTATTTGCGCTATACATTTCGAACAATCTGGTCACACATATTTGTATTGAAAAAAAATTTATTGTATGATAGAATAATTACAGTTTATGTAAAAATGAAACATTAAAGACGTAGAATGTTGTATTTGTAAAATCTCAACGAATGAAATTGATGTAAATTCAACGTTTCGCTTGGTAATCTGTTCCAAGAATTTTCAAGGAAATATAATCAAACATCAAAATTATTGAATATAGATAGGTATATGGTTTTCCGGTTCACCGTATACTGAATATGTTATCCAATCAACGTTAACAATGCTTAAAGTAGGTATTTACATTAGTGTATCAGAGACATATAGTGTGAAACGAAAAGTGTATACTCTTTCATGTCTCACATCAACTCGGCACCCTAATACTATAAAACTATTCGATCAAATTTGGACGAAAGTTCTTATTTATTATTTAAAAATGGGTAAAAGTTTCCTAATAAATCAGGTAAAAACTTTAATCAGCCTGTAGTTAAGCGTTTCAACAAGGGATTCGACGGAAGTTCTCATGCACATAATAATAATCTAATTCATTCTTAACCATTATTAAGATTTGATCGAAAACTATGGATATCTAATATACTTTTACTAAAATAAGTCTAGTGTTAATTTCTAAATATTTGATTATACAATATATTCAAAGCAAATTTGTAAGAATAATCATAGATTTCTATATAAAAGTTATTAACTATTAGACTTATTATTATTGATAGTCAACTGAATGCATTATATGTAAATATTCATAACTAGAAGATGATACAATATTTTCCGACACTTTGACTATAATTAAAATTCTATATTATTGAGATCTTGGTTTTGTGCTTTAAATATATTACATTCATAAGAAGTTCTGGAACTATGCTATCAAGTATCTGGTAGCTTTATAGCTTTTACTTTGCTGACGATTCTTAATACAGAAATAAGCAATAGTTGAGTTTAAATAAATTAATATATTTGTAATATCTTAATGAGTAGAAAAACTAAATTTTCTGGCGTTTCGTCACTCAGTATAAGCCACTTCTTCAGAGAATAAATACTTGCTTACGCCTGTTACTCCCAATGGAGCATAGGCCTCCGACCAACATTCTCCAACCCACTCTGTCCTGGGCCTTCCTTTCTAATTCCATCCAATTCTTGTTCGTTTTTCTCATGTCTATCTCCATTTCCCGGTGTAATGTGTTCTTTGGTGTTCCTCTTCTCCTTTGGCCTTGAGGATTCCATGTGAGGGCTTGTCTTGGACGCAGTTGGGTGCTTTCTTCAATGTGTGTCCTATCCACTTCCAGCGCTTCTTCCTGATTTCCTCCTCCACTGGGATCTGGTTTGTTCTCTCCCATAGTAGGTTGTTGCTAATAGTATCCGACCAACGGATCCGAAGTATTTTGCGTAGACAACTGTTAATAAACACCTGTATTTTCTGAATGATGGCTTTTGTAGTTCCATTGTAATATTTAAAATTGTATTAAATTTGCTCCGGCCATTTATTCTCTGAAGAAATGGCCTATACTGAGTGACGAAACTTCAGAACAGCTAATTTCTCTACTCACTAAGATATTACAGCTACATTAATTTATTTATACCAATCCACCTAATGTTCAATTTATTCAAAATGTTCAAGTCAAATCTTGGTAACGACACCTACAAATAGTTGAGTTTTTTTCGTGTTTGCAATAGTTTTTTTAAAAAAACAAAGTTATTTTACGAATTGAAATAACTACAAAGTAAACAATTATCTCAAATGTATTATTTCGACAACAACAACAAAAGATCCGACGAGAAGTACTTATCATTTCATAATTATTCATAAATATTTGATAATTTATTTTCTGAAGAAGTGGCTTACACTAAGTGACGAAACGTCAGAAAATTTAATTTTTTCTATTCACTGGGATATTACAAATATATTATTTTTATTTATAAATATTTCAGTTATATTCGATTGAATTTTGTACCTGGAAAATTTCCTTTAGAAGAAGAAGTTGATCGATTTATAGATGAGATACGTGTAAGTTAATTTTACTATTTACTTAATTCTCTATTAATTAATTGATATTTTCAATTAAGATATATATCTGAATCATGAAGAAAGAAGTTTTGTAAAATGAAATTAAACTGAAAAATTATTCTCGATAGCAACATATTATTGATTATAAATGTTAAAAATCAATGAAAATTTATGCTTTCATTTATGCTAAGGATTCTTTACAATGATTACAAATAATTTTCTTTAAGATGGTGGATAAGATTCGTTGTTTAAGTGGATAATTTTGATGAAATTTTGTTCTTTGAGCTGGATGGTTTTGTCGTGGAGTTTTCATCGTTCTTCCGGACGACATCATCAGTAACACAAACTCCACATATGGTTCACAGCTTGTCCTGTCGACCTCGATGTTGATTGGTTCTTCTTGACCCTAAACTTGTCATTGTTTATATCTTTGTTTTGGTTGTATCTTCTATTGGTTTGATTTCTGTTTTTTCTATGTTTGTCCATAATTTTCCTAATTAGTTCATAAATTGGATCGATTTCAATGTGTTTGTTGATTGCTGATTGACCTGAGTGTCAAGCTTCTAAAAATTCTCTGGTGTTTTTAGAGTTGTGTTGATGATGTCGTTCAGAGGAACGTTGAAAGCTCTCCGACCAAACCATCTAGGTCGGAGAACACAACTCCATCAAAAACATTAACAAATAGAAAACCTGAATTTTATTCATTTTCTCCTGTGATTAAAACAAAATTCATAAAATCTAAGATCGATTACTCTGATAAAATGTTTGAGAAGTAGTTTCAAACTAATAATGAATTTCTCATGATATGAATATGTCTACATACATTTTTCAAGTTGACAACCATGGTAGAAGAAGAGTTTTAATTTTTTAGTTTGTATATAGTTTGAAACTTACCATTTTAGAGAAGCTAAAATAACTAGCCCTTTGTTTCTCTTGTTAATGATCCTACATTTTACTTTTGACTGAACATCTGCTGATAACAATATTTCATGAGATCTTCCTCCTTAATAAAAATAATAGTTGTGTTTAAATGCTTTGTTATTTATGCATCCACTACTACTGATTTTCAGGGATGAAAAACAGTGATATTGATCCGTTTTGAATGGAACACGAAAGGATATATATAGATGAATCGATAAATACTTACTGAAATGGTCAGATCAACTTGTAGAGCCATACCACCTTCGAAACTTGAGTACACGTTTAGCGTCTTTTTGGAAACAGACATAATTGATTCCTAAAGGAAGTCTGACTGTTATGAATTGATAACTGATCTACAATAATCACTTCTTCTAATCATTAATTTATCTTATACATCATTAAACCAACAAATTCATTAAATTTATGGTTCGTAATGCATGATAAAAGTACTTCTTTCGGTTAATCTTTAGTGGCCCGTGGATCTGACTGCTATTTAGATCGTATGAATGTTTGTTATCGCCTATTCTCGTATATCATCGTCGACTTAAATCACGTTAGTCAATAACCTAATTAAATAAGTCAAATAACGAGAATCGACCTGTGCATACATATATTTTGTATATGAAGCGAATGAAACAGAGCAAAGCAAAATGACACGCAGGGAAGATGGCTGGAAAGCCAACTTCATTTTAGTCAAGCGTTACTCAATATTTATAGTCAGACAAAATAAAACTACAGACATGTGATTAATGGGATAAGAAGGGCACACACATATACGCTCATATAAAAACAGTCTAAATTGATAAGCGAATAAATAAAAAGGTCAAAGTATGGCTCAAATAGAATGAATAAAATGGGATGTCCGAAAGTTAGAATAAGGTATATGGGCTCAGCATAATAACTGACACTACAAATCTAAACCTAGAGACTAAAGCCTATTAGATTACTGTTTCATGTGGTTTCTGTATGATATATATGTTACTCAATTATTATCTTATCCCTTAGTAACTTAACATAATTAAAAGTATGTGTAGCCTATTTTTTTTTATCACCAAACATTACATGATTATTGAATTACAATTGTTCACTACCTACTTACAGAAGAGGATTTGATGTACATATATAATAACAAATAATGAATTAAATTGAAAACTTTAATTAAGAATATTCGACTAGTTGTTCCTTAGATTTATTATACAGTTGTTATTTCAATTTATATATATATATATATACAGAGAGAGAGAGAGAAAGAAAGAAAGAGAGATAGCATTGTTATGACTTAGCTTCGTTAATCAAATCACCTTGATAACCGTTATTAAATAAATTTCAACCATGTTTAAAAATCAGAAGGCAATAAGAAGCGACAACTACAGTTTATTAAAGGATAGCAAAGATAACAAAGTTACAAACACATCGATCGAATTTATTATTATTAGTGGCTTTATTCAGTATTATAGTTTTGGTACAATATACAATTCTCAACATATAATATTTCAACAAGTTTCCTCTTCTTATTTCTTGATCAATCTTGACGATAAATATTGAATGGTCACCTGTCAGATGTTAACAGTACAGGAGTCGATTTCTGAGTAATGTACATCGTTTTCTGTGCATATTGTCAGCAATCACGATGTCTCCGATTGGGCTGTTTTATAACTTGTATAGTGAAATGTCGTAAACTGTTGACAAATACACTTGAATGATTTATGCGACTGATAGGCATAATGATGTGTTAAAATAAAGAAGAGAATAGATAATTTGTTGAAATATTTAGATGGCAGGAATAGGTAGCTCAGATATTCAAGCAGGCCGCCTTCTTTGGAGCAGAGAGGCGTATATATGTGTATGCGAGCGAATACATAAGCGAATTTATGGTCAAATCGAATAACGTGCAACTAGGCAAGGCAAAGGCTAATAATAGGATTCGAGTACATATATACACGGGAAAGAGAATGGTTCATTGAGTAATATTTAAGTTATTAACATTTAGGCTAGAGAGAGATATATGAGTAGGCTGTCACATGTGATCAAGTGTACTTATTTATACAGACAAGATAGTGATCATAGTAGTACAAAAAAAACATGAGAATTGTTACTTTTCGAATAACGTTTTCTGTTTAGTAAGTTAATAAAAGGGCTTAACAAAAATCAACCATAACTGAAGTTGGTTGTACGATATATATATATTTGTAATGATAGAATAAAATGGAACTTGTTATGGTTACGAAAAGTTGATCAACAGAAAACACGTACATAATTTTTGGAATAAACATTCTTTCTGTTATGTATTATCATTTAACAATCTAGTTGAAGGTTCATCTATATCAGAAAGATTATTTCAACCAAAAAATTTAAAGTGATAAATTCTTAACATATATTTTTAAGCTTATTCAGATGATTCTTCAGTGGCTAATGAGTTTTCTTTAATGTTCACAAATAAAGCAATAAAGTTCTTAGTCTATATGATTGAGGAAGTAATTATTTATAACTTCATGAGAATTAGCTAAGTTCTTAATTATTATATATTGACATAACAACTATTGTTATCAACCATTATAAACAGATATTATGGTGACTAGAAGTGGAATCCAGAACTCGAGTTTCGTCTTATTTAATGCTTGTGAATTAAGGCAATATCTAAGCAATTTATACAGTATACACATAGGTCAATAAGAGACTGATCAATTGCAGTCCTAAGCATCGATAGGAAGATTCAAAAAACTAATGCAAAAATATTTTATTAACAAGCTTTTTATAGTTTATTTTACTCTGATAGTTAACTTAAAATGAAACTTTTTATTGATGAATATCATTAAGACTATCAGAGAACATCTATAGTATTTTTTGCTATTGCCTGAACTTCGTTACATGTTGTGGGTTGAAGACTTGGTGATAGATTAAAAATAAGAACACTACATACCGTAGTGAGAATATTACCACGAAAATATTAAAGTGGGATCTGATTCTAATTGATTTACTGATAATAATCTTTCGGTTGTACCATGTGTCCAATACAGTTAATACCAGTATCTATGATGATAATAGGACTATGGAAAGATTTAGTATTTAAAGATCCGTAATTATTTGACTCCAATTTGATCGTATGTTGATTATCATTTTCGACTTATACATATCGTTAATCCGCGTATATAATCATCGACTTAAGTCATGTTAGTGAAAAAATGGAACTAAGTAAATCAAAGATGAGAATGGATTTCGAATACGCATATTTCATGCAATGATTGATCCAAACAGACGATGAAAGAAATGAAGCGAAATGAAATGACATCCGGTGGAAAAGGAGTGTGAACCAACTCTATTTAACCAAGTGTCACACAAAAAAGTAAGTTACATAAATGTGATGAGTAAAGTAAGAAATGAACACAATTACACTTATATAAAAACAATCAAAGTTAATAAGCGAATAAGTGACAGGGTAGAAATGTGGCTTAAGAAGAATGAATAGGTCGATCTTCCCAAAAGCTAGAATAACCTATGCGGGCTTGACATAATATCAACCCCTAGAAGTAAAAAATATTTTAATAGTTGGATTCATGAATCAATTAAAGCTAGATCATCAAGGAAAACCTGGAAACACTGGACGGCTGTTTCGTCCAAGTATGCAACTCAGCAGGATTCGAACCAAGGTTCTATCGGTCTCGCGTGTGAGTGCTTAACCACTAGACCACTGAGTCAACCAGTATCCAACGCTTTTAATGTCTAACTTCAACTGATCCATAAAATAGAGCCATCATCCACCATTGTCATCAGTGAGCTACTATCACACAATAAACCCGGCTGGACTCCACTGGTCACCGCTTCTCACTAGAACTCCAGGAAACACCTCTTGAAGCCAGTCACTGATAAGCACATGATGATTATAGTCAGAGAGGTGTTGAAATCATGAGTCATTTGAAGCTAGATCACCATGGTAAACCTGGAAGTATATTATTATCATCATCAACAATCACTTTTGCTAATTAAATATTATACAAAGTGGTTAATTCAAATTAATTAATTCAAATAAATAATAATGATATATTAATATTCATTCTATTGTTTCACTTTATAATTTTTTTTATATTCTAGCATATTTGTTCAGATTCATTGCCAAAATATGTAAATCCTTCTAATAAATCAATACTAAAAACAGGATCATCTCATGATGAAGTATCTTCATTTATACATAAAATGATATTACCGCATTTTTTAATTACTGGTCATAAAATTACAGATGGTTCTATACAACTTGGTTTAATTATGGGACATTTAACATTGAAATCATTAAGTAGTATTTTTCAATCAATTAATCCTAATTGTGAACAAAAAAATTTATTACAATCTAATCAAACTACATCATTATCAAATATAAAATATCCATTAAAAAATGAAAATAATTATACTATTTATAATCGTATTAGTAGTGCTAATAGTGGTAATAGTAGTAGTAGTATTACTATAAAATCAGATATTATAAGAAAAAAAAATAATAAAGTATTTAATGAAATTACATTTACGAAAAAAATGAATTTATTAAAAAAAGGAAAATTCCATTTTGTTCGACAACTTGGTCGTTATTTACCATTTATGGTACAAATTAAAGAAGAAGTAAGTGATACAAAGATATTTGGTTTTTTTTATTCTATGAAATAAATAAGTTCTCATTGTTATTTAGGACTACAATTGATCAATTTCATGTTGACATGTGTACATCCTGTACGTCCTGAATTCCACTGATAGTTACTATTCATCTTTGTTTAAAAAGCTTGTGACTTAAGTCTATATCGAGGCAATTTGCACAGGATGTAAATCTGCTAACATGTGACTGATCAATTGCAATCCTAAATATCATTGAGAAGATACAAGTAAAACAACACCAACAGAATGTAAACTTTATCTCATTGTACAAGCAGGTGGTTATCAGGACTCAGTAGCTAAATGGATAACGTGATGGCGTTTGGAGCGAACGGTACAGGGTTCTAGTCCCGTAGAGTACATCAACTCTGGGATGTAGGCTTGTTCAGCTGACGAGTCCCAAATAGGACGAAACACGCGTCCTGGATCTTTGCTTAAAAAAACTTTGGTTTTCTTAAATTTTGACATTAGATGCTAGATCAGTGGTCTAGAGATTGAGCGTAAGCGCATGAAACCGGAGGTCCTGGGTTCGAATCCCATATGCGAGGGTAGTGAATATGTACTTCTGAGGAGTCCCATACTAGAACGAAATGGCTATCCCGTGATTTCGGGTTTTAAATGTTTGCCTCATGATTTTGATGTTATTCAACATTCTGAACAACCCAAATTGAGAATGGCCTACTAACTTGAATCATTGCACATTTGTGACAAGCTTCACGTTGATTGTAACTGACTGACTAAGCCTATTTTACAATCAAAAGCCAATCAGGATAAAAGTAGAGAGTACCAGTTTTTTATTCAAAATCTTAAATGTAATATTAATTGGCATTTACTTTATAAAATCTTTATAAAAGCGATTTGTATATAGAGTTTAAATTGTCCAGAAATGATAAAATATTATATCTTGTGCAATCACAATAGTTAAAATGACATGAGTAGATAATTATTTTTCAAGATTAAGGATAAACTGTTTTTTAGAATGAATTAGGTTTCACGGAGAATGTAGTTTACTTAATGATGAAGAAATCTAGTTATAAATCCTTGGTGAACTAGCATCACATAGAACAGCTACATATATTTCTTTACTCAATTTGTTTCTTTGATATGCAATTAAGTCCTTTTACATTGTAGGGATAGTTTTTGAGTTTGAACGATCATTTAGTTCACTAACTAATAGACGACATAAAATTGTTATGGTCATCTATGGGATCGTTGAACGTAACCACGGTAATATATATAAATATACACATGGCGTGAACATAGTTATATTGGAAGTATGACCAATGTTTAATATCTCTACTTCAGGGGTGCCTTGATATTCATCTATCAGCGGATGAGACAAAATTGTATATGAAACACAAATAAAAGTACACAAAAGGACAATTACATTTATAAGTTTATTTTTAATCATTATATTGGTAACAATCCACAATTTATTCAACCATGAATTTTATTAATGAACGATTACTTTGGAGTCTAGTAGATTCGAGCCCCTTTTTGTATCATCAGTGTGAACTGGTTAAAACATTTACTTAGTATAAGAGTTCATGAAGTTTTACCACAAGCGTAATGTTCGAATCGTTTTCATTTATATGTCAAGATCTGGAATAAAAAATTGAATTAACTAAAATCACTTAGAAAAATAGATGATAATTTGCTTATATATATTTTAAACTTTCAACTTTGTATCTGGTAAAGGATACAGATATGATAGTGGTTGGAGGTAGTCAACAAGAATCTCTGGACCCAGTTTTCGTGCTATTTGACACTTATCAGCAAGATGTACCTGTAATCTTGAGGGAACTGATGCTTCCTGACAGATTCGATCCCGTGTCATCCAGCTTCCTGTTGACTACCTCCAACCAACATATTGTCTCAACATAATACATGCAATGTCGAGTCACCTAGACTAGTGGCCACACTGCAACATAGTCGATAGGATTCGATCTGCACTAAGAATGACCTGATATACATGACACTGATCACCACTCAATGGTCATTGAATTGTGAAAGGATATAGATGTTGACACTTGATTGTTAACATTTACAAAATGCCAGTATTTACTCCTCTAAATCCTACAAAAGGAACCAACATTTTTAAAATGTACTTCATCAGTTTTATTTAGTACATTCTAGAGGTTGAATTATTTATATTTCTTCCTAATATGATAAGTTAAACTCACGGTTACCAATCTAAATATGTAATCTATAGCTTTTTAAAATCTGAAAGTCCTAGACAATAATGCAAAAACCATTTGAATTTTGTATCAGAAATAAGATTGATTTTAAGCTCTTACTTGATTTTAATCTTTTGATTCGCATAAACTTCACAATTTGTAAAATATTTTTAATCAGCACATCTAGTTCAAGATGAGTATGTATTCTTATGTTTTATTATAGAAATGTGCATTACATTACTTCATAAATTTGTACATTTATTTCAGGTGGATAACGCTATTGATGATTTTGATGATGTAATTAATTTACGTGAAGAAATAGTTGATTGTATTATTGAATATATGGGACTTCCAGTAACCGATGAAAGTGATGTATGTTAAAAAAATTTATTTAATAATTAACATTATCCTCTAAACTTATCAAAAAATATTGTAAAATTTTGATATATATAAAACGTTAATATTGAATACAAGAATATATGAATCTATCAAGGTATGCATTCATGAGTCACTGTAAGCTGGATCACTCTTGAAAACCTAGAATCACTCAACAACCGTTTCGTTCTAATATCAGACTTCCAAAAAATGCACATCTACAATACCAAACATGGGACTCGAATCCAAGACTCCCGGTACCGTACACCTTCGCTTAATCTCCAGAACACTGATCCACCATACAACACTGTTAATATCTAACTTCAATCGATCTATGATTTCGAGCAACACTTCATCGATTGTTTGAAGTGGTTAACTGTCTCACACTCGACACGGATTGAACTCTACTGGTTACGACTTCTCACTAGAACTGTAGGAAATCCATCTTGAATCTAGTCATTAGTGAGCATGTAATGATTATAATTAGAATCGGGATTTGTGGAACTGTAGTGATTTTAATAGGGGACTTCATTTGTCCAGTGCTTCCAGGTTTTCAATGGTAGTCTACCTTACATAGAATCATGAATCCAACTATTAAATTCACTACAATCTCCACAACCCATCATTCTGAATATATACATAAATGTTTATTTCAGAGCTTTATTCCATATTATATTTTTGGTACAATATACAATTCTCAACATATAATATTTCAACAAGTTTCCTCTTCTTATTTCTTGATCAATCTTGACGATAAATATTGAATGGTCACCTGTCAGATGTTAACAGTACAGGAGTCGATTTCTGAGTAATGTACATCGTTTTCTGTGCATATTGTCAGCAATCACGATGTCTCCGATTGGGCTGTTTTATAACTTGTATAGTGAAATGTCGTAAACTGTTGACAAATACACTTGAATGATTTATGCGACTGATAGGCATAATGATGTGTTAAAATAAAGAAGAGAATAGATAATTTGTTGAAATATTTAGATGGCAGGAATAGGTAGCTCAGATATTCAATTAGGCCGCCTTGGTCTTACAACATAATATTTTTTGTGATGGACTCATTCTATGATAATATTTATTGAAGTATACAAGTATATCTTAATAAATTACACAAGAAATAATACATGTATGATTAAAGCAGTTTCACACAATATAATTTGATAAAAACATTATTAGTAATGATCATGTTCAATTTTTGAAAAAACTTGTTATATGTTCATAAGATCATTGTCTGTTAACTTGAGAACCTAAATGACATCATGGTACATATATATATGCTTATTGAATTAATAATTATTGGTTGTCAATTCGATTCATATATATTTGTTTTATTTAAACTATGTGATCATTATAAGCAAAGAGGGATAGTGGCTAACAGTGAAATCCATTAAGCGTGTTTCATCTTATTTGGGAGTCGTCAGCTGGATGTACATGCATCTCAGAGTTGATATCTACTCTAAGACTCGAATCTAGTACCATTCACTTCAAACGCCATCGCATTTGTAACTTCAGGCAATATATCAAGATGCACATATAACAAGGGATTGATCAATTGTAGTGCTAAATAACAATGTAAAGATACAAGTAAATAACATCAAGTGAATATATGCTTATTGTTTACTAAGGTTAATAATATTATTTACACTTTATTTTAAATACTTTGAATGATAATATTATTCTTTTATATGTACTTTAGAAAAGCTTATTATGTAAAACATTATATGAACGAACTATTGATCGAATGGAAAGATATTATTTATTAATCTGTTTTAATGCATATCTTAAAGAGCAAGTAAGTTTATTTATTCAATTAATTAATTAATTAATTAAATATTTAGATGCAATTAAGATTTAGTGAAAATTTTTCAACATGGATGAAACATCAACCACGTCTTTATCAAATTATGGATTTTTTAGATATATCTGAATGGCATACATCAATAGATATGTTAAAATATGAACATCGTGTATTAGTAAGTTCATTAATGATCAAGTTATCAGTTTTTTTTTAAATATGAAACAAGAAAACTATTTCAAACTAAAGAAGAAATGAATTGAGCAAAGAAACTTCTTTACAATTAGTTTCTCATCATGATTTACAATAATGAAATAATACTCATCGAGTGGATACGTCACGTAATAATTACTTAGTGACATATCGATTATAAATTAACATTGAGTAACTGGAAAAGAGAGGATTAATAATAGTCAAAGTAATTATTCGACAATCAAGTAGTTGCTATGTTGTATAATATAGGACGAAACGGCCGTCCAGTGCTTACAGGTTTTCCATGGTGGTCTAGCTTCCATTGACTCATCATTTCAACTATTGAAATTACTACAATCTCCACAAAACCCCTTCTGATACTAATATATATATATATATATATAATATTTTGATGAGTGGTCAGTAGAATAGTAGTTGTGTAGAAATCAAGAGATGAATGTTGAGAATAAGTAAAACACAAAATTCAAGAAAAAAAATGGAAAAGGTACGAAAATAGTTTATCAATGTTCTGCTATAAACGCCCCTATACCGATGGCGAAGGTAACGAAATTGGTTATACAAACTTCTTTTGGATGCAAAGGTTAGATTTGTGAACATGGATTGCAATGGCTTCAGCAATGTGCAAAAGACACACTTGTAAACCATGTGATAAATTCGACGGAATATTGTAGATAACCTTAAAAGCTTTAATCAATTCAACTTGATGACTTGTATCAACCAAGCGAGCGAGAATATAACTTTTACTTGTCCTTTTCTCAACAACAACAGGTGGTGCTCTGTTATAGGATTATGTAACTATTACGTAACGTATCCAGTCGATGAGTATTGTTTCATTACTGTAAATCATATATATTTAGAGCCATGATGAAAAACTAATTTCATTGATTGAAATCATGAGTCAATTGAAGCTAGACCACCATGGAAAACCTGAAAGCACTGGACGGCTGTTTCATTCTACTGTGTGACTCCTCAGCAGTGCGCATCCACGATCCCGCACCCCGTGAGATTCTAACCCAGGATCTATCAGTCTCGCGCCAGGCGCTCAACCAACTAGACCACTGAGCATTTGATCATAGATGAGCACTGCTGAGGAGTCGCCTACTAGGATGTAACGGCTGTCCAGTGCTTCCAGGTTTTTCATGGTGGTCTAGCTTCACTTGACTCATGATTTCAATCGGTGAAATTTTCAAAAATCTCCATAAAATCCCTTCTGAAAAACTAATTGAAAAGAAATTTCTTCGCTCGATTTGTTCTTTCTATACTTGCCAAATGCCAAAATTGGAATTTTCATTATTTCAAACTGTTTTCATCTTACCGATTATTTTTTTGAAATTATTGATAAAGTTTTCTACTTCACATTCATAAGATCAATATTTGAATTTATTTTTTCACTTAAATAGGTAACAGATAGTTCACTTCATGTAGATGAATTAAGTACACAACGAATTACTGGTCTTGGTAATTTTCGTCAGTTAGCTGGTGTACCAATTTGTGGTTCAAGTCAACCAGATACAAATGGTATTATTAATATACATAATGTATTAACAAAAGCATATTGGAATATATCACTAAAAAATATAAGACCAGTTGTACATGAATTAAATACTAGTAAAAAAGGTTCAGAGAAATCATCAAATGGTAAAGAGGTAAATAGTTATGCAGTTATAATACCCCAAATGATATGGATATGTCTACGTGATGATTATGTAGTTAAATATTCAGGTGAAACATGTAGTTGGAGAGAAAAATATAAACCAGAAGATTCAATAACATTACGTGGAGCTAATGGAATGGAACTTGAGGTTTGGTTTTAAACATTATTATTGTATATTATTAATTATATCATTATAATTAGAAAAAAATTATAAGGGCAATATGTTGATTTTTTGATAAAAGTTCTTAGATATTTTTAAATTTGTTAAAAACAGCGTTTTGAGAAAAATCAAATCAAATTTTCATTCATGTTTATCATTCAACCGTTTTGTGATATTTTCATAGATACTGCTTCATATATAAGTTGATCTACTTTCACAATCCCTATACCAGTAATTAACATGTGCTCACTAGTGACTAACTTCGTGAGGGAATTCTCGGAGTTCTAGTGAGAAGCCGTGATCAGTGGAGCTAATCCATGTCGAGTAGAGACAAGTATCTACCTCAGTACAATGGAAGATGGTCGCGCAATTTCTTGGATTGGTTGATGTTAGACACTATCACCATTGGATATCGGCTCAGTGGTCCACCAGATTAAGTGTTCGCGCGCGAGGCTGAAGGCCGTGGGTTCGAATACCACGAGAGGGATCGTGGATGCGCACTGCTGACGAGTCCTACAATAGGAAGAAACGGCCGTCAAGTGCTTCCAGGTTTTCAATGGTGGTCTAACATCAATCAGTTCATGATCTCAATCAAAAACTTATTAATCTCCACAACCCCTATACTAGATATAAATATAGTTGCTTCAAGTTTTGACAATTTATTTCAACTTGTTAATTATATTATATAGATCAACATGAGCTTATTCATTAAATAATAATAAACAGTATGAAAATGAATGAGTAGAAGAATATAGTTTGTTTTACTGAAATTTGTTAATATTAATGGATGGCTTATAGGATATTCGGTAATTCGACCCAATCCACACATTAAAAGTTTTAATTAATTAATATAAAAAGGAGTTTTTGTGGATATTATAGTAATTCCAATAGTTGAAATCATGGGTCAATTGAAGCTAGACCATCATGGAAAACCTGAAAGCACTGGATGGCCGTTTTGTTGTATTGTGGGGCTCCTCATCAGTGTACATCCACGATCCCGTCTCGCAAGATTCGAACCCAGGACCTACTTACGTGAGATAGTAACTCACTGAAGACAATGGTAGATGTGTCGTTCAATTTCGTGGATTAATTAATGTTAGACATTAACACAGTTAGATGCCGGCTCAATAATCTAGGGGTTAAGCGTTCGCGCGTGAGACAGATAGGTCTTTGGTTCGAATTTCGCGAGGTGGGATCGTGGATACATACCGTTGATGAGTTACACAGTAGAATAAAACGGCCATTCAGTGCTTTCAGGTTTTTCATAGTGGTCTATCTTCAATTAAATCATGATCTCAACTATTGAAATTTTAATTGTTTAATAATTAAATTAGAAATTTTTATTGCTTTTTTAATGAAATTACAAATTAATTTACTAAAAGCGAGTTCTCAAAATTTGTATGAATAGTGCATATTCGTTTGTCCTTAAAGGAATGTAAAAGATTCTCCACTTTTCTTCTTTGCCAAACGAATTCACTTATAGAAATTTATAAAATGAAAACTTTATGAATATAATTTTACACAAATTCATTTGATCTTTTCTTAAGCAAAATATATACTAAAAGAAAATTTATGATCTCATGTAATTCCAGGGTAAATGTAACTGATTAGTAACAGCAGTTTGAATTCTGTAGGACGTCTTCATAATCCAGTTGACCACCATGGAGAAGAGGAAGAAAGAGAGTAGGTATCGTTGTCTGACTCTGGTCGTTACTTAGAATGCATCTGTCAACTGTTCTTCATGAACGATTTTGCACTGTAGTCCGTCGTAAATTGTTCAACTACATTGAAGCTATTACATCAAACAGAACTGTGTTCAATTTTCAATACTTTTTTGTTCTTGTTGTTCATTTATCAATATTTAACTATTATTTATTCATATACAGATATGTATATATTTATTTGTGTTTAAATAATGTTAATTTTCGGATATGATTTTCTATTTTGATATTTTCTACACAGGAAATGGAACAAAAATTTGCTAATTCAGTCAGTAAAATAAAACCCCCATGTAAATTATTCAAATTAAATGATAATGGGAAATTATCAATGATTAATATTGAGTCAACTGATCAACAACTTGAATTATTAAGTTTAAAACAAATGTTTAAACAAGCATTTAATATGGTGAATACAATAAATTCATCAGTATCATCATCGTCTAATAATATTAATAATAATAATAATAATATGGAGGTATCATCAATTCATAGCACATTGATTGATAAAGTACCTAATTCCTATGCAATTTATTTGAATGAACATGCTAAATATCACCGTGTTCCGTTGCCAAATTATGGTCATCCACCTCCACCGGTAATTTTATCATTCAATATTTTATATTCTTCATTAAATTGATTTATATATATTAAATTCATGAAAGTATATTTTTAAGCAAAGATGGATAGTGGCTAGCAGTGGAATCCTGGTTGCGCGTTTAGTCCTATTTGTAACTCGTCAGCTGGATGTACCTGTATCTCAGATTTGATATTCACTCTGAGACTCCAACCCAATACCGTTCGCTTCAAACGCCATCATGTTAACCATTTAGGTACTGAATCCTGATAGCCACCTGCATGTGCAATGTGGTGAAGTTTAAATTCACTTGGTGTTGTTTTATTTGTTTTATTTGGTACCTATGTAAGGAGAAAATACGTAATCATACAGAGGCAATATATGTGTTTTTATAAGTAGTAATCAATATCATATACATTGAAGAAATGAATTATTATTGTAATTTAATATGATAGTCTAGTAACTAATATTCTGATGAATGAATAATGGTAAATTCATTCAGTTTCTCGAAATTTTTCAATCAAAATGCTATAATAAACTGAGCTATTTATCATTTTACTTCTTTGACAAATTTCATAGACACCCATTTTTTTGTAAGAACAGTGAAAATCAAATATCACTGTGATGTAACCAATAATCTATTGTTTTTGGTAACAATTATTTTGTTTATGAAGAAGCTTCTATCATCGAATGAAAATTAAACCTTTCATCCTACTTACAAATCCCAATTCTAATCAGAATCATCATAAGCACACTAATGACTAGATTCAAGATGGATTTCCTACAGTTCTAGTGAGAAGTCGTAACCAGTAGAGTTCAATCCGTGTCGAGTGTGAGACAGTTAACCACTTCAAACAATCGATGAAGTGTTGCTCGAAATCATAGATCGATTGAAATTAGATATTAACAGTGTTGTATGGTGGATCAGTGTTCTGGAGATTAAGCGAAGGTGTACGGTACCGGGAGTCTTGGATTCGAGTCCCATTTTTGGTATTGTAGATGTGCATTTTTCGGAAGTCTGATATTAGAACGAAACGGTTGTTGAGTGATTCTAGGTTTTCAAGGATGATCTGGCTAACATCGACTCGTGAATTCAATTGTTAAAAATATATTTCATACTTTGTGAACAAACGATTAGATATGAGTGTTATTTTAGTAATGAGATCTCTTTAAATACATTTATTATTTATCTTTTTCTTAAGCTATTCAGTTGCTCTATTGTGGTAGACAAATAATTTCTCTCATTTCCACAACCCAGAAAGTAACAGTAATTATTGAACGTACTATCCAGACTTTTGAATGGACTCGTTATATTAAAATTGTAATTAAACTCGGTTTTTTTAATAAAGGTTGAAAATTAGGTGACCTATGAGTGAAATTTTGCCTGAATTCTTCTATATTATCCAGTACAAAATAACTACCGAAATTATTTTCCCTAAGAAATAACTTTCACTATTGTGATTCATCTAATAAACTTACGCAATAATCATTTTACTGATAAAAAACGAATCGTAATGTACAAAATGATTAATAAAAAACAAACTTTAAACGTGACGTTTTGTGAAAACGTTTCCGCATGGACTCACAGTGAATCTATATTTGAAATACGGATATAAATCACATAGTCTGCTAAATAATTGTTATGTAATTTAATTCTGAACGACGTAGACTTGAAGAAAGGAAAGAAAGTGCAGAGAGATTCACAAACCTATGTGCATTCAACAGAATAGTTATAGGCATAGCAATATCCCACTGGATCACACCACGGAGAACCAGATAGGTCATATTTGCATCATTCAAAAATTCACAATGTCAATGGGAAAAAGGAGCTTCAATTGAAGAGCTGACATAGCTTTAAATCACCACTTAGTTGTGTCCAAGATGAAACTGAAGCTAAAGAAGCACTGAACAGCTAGAGGAACAGCATTACAAAGGTTCAATACAACCTTTCTTCGAAATGCTGACAAACTCAACGAAGTCAAAACGGCTCTCAACAACAGGTTTCAAGCCTTACAAGGTCCACTCAAAAAAGAAGAAACTACTGTGGAGGCCAACTGGAAAAAGATCAAAGAAGCACTAACTTCAACCTGTCAGGAAGTTCTAGGTTGCAAGAAGCATTATCATAAGGAGTGGATCCCTATCGAAAACCTGGACAGCATTCAACAAAGAAAGAAAAGGAGACAGCAACTAACAACAGCTGAACAAGAACAGAGGAAATCAAGGGACAAGCTGAATACACAGAAGCAAACAAGCAAGTGAAGAAGAGAATTAGGGCTGACAAGCAGGAATACGAGGAAAAGCTAACAACGACAGCGGAAAAAGTTAGATGAGAGTGAAATATGAAACAACTATATGATATAGCGAAGAAACTATTAGGGTAGTATAGCAAAACCAGTGAAACTCGTCAAGGACTAGGAAGACAAGCAATCACTGAAATTCAAGGACAGAAAAACAGATGGGTGGAACACCTTTGGAAACTCTTGAATAGACCAGCTCCACTGAACCCACCAGAAATCTAAGCAGCGAACACTGACATTCATATAGATATCACTTCACCAATGATCGGAGAAACCAGGCCCGACCGAAGCTGCTACCTTGACGCGGTGGTCGGGCTTGCCTAAAGTGATGACCCAACCGAGCTATATTGGCGGGAACATATGTTCCTGCAGGTCCTACCATGCCAGGCAGGTCGATTGGTGAACGGTAAGACTAAAAGCAGCAACTCAAGGTCTGAGGGCGAATTCGTACTGCTGACTGTAGAGAGGTGTGACAGCAGTAAGGTGTTTCCCTCGGACAACCAGCATGACAACGATGCTGTCTTCCCACAAGGAGGGGTGGGGTTAGAAAAGGTCGACCCTAAAAATGTCACACCTCACCTTACCTCACGGATTTCCGTCTCCGGCGGTAACGCCCTTTGAAGAACGGAGCTAACACGTCAAAAACCTTCCACAAAAAGGCCGTGCGCGACCGGCCTCAAGCAGTTGTCCCTTGGGCTCTGCGGTCACGCTCCTAGGCCGTCAAGACCAACACTAATCCAATTTCCTTTTCAGGACCCTCAAGAAATACCCTTCCACGGTGTGGGCAGCCGGGAAGTGACATCAGCCCTCATACCCGTAACAGCACAAGAGACCAAGGTGGTCACATTCAAATCTTTCCTACACCTTCTAATACCTCTCTTATCTCCCCGACTAACCCTCCCCACGTCTCTTTATCACCTCGCACCGCTAGGGCAAACGATTCGAGTACGTGGAACGCCATTCCTGGTCTCCTGAAACCACGCTCTAAACTACACGTAGGAGCTTTTAACGTACGAACACTTTGCCAAATAGGACAGCAGGCTTCCTTAGCTAAAACTTTAGAATCTCGCGCCATCGATGTGTGCTGCGTCTCCGAAACGCGCATACAGGATCCGAGTAGCGTCATTCATTTGACCTCACCATGCCAAAATAAAGAACCGACTCGATTTACGCTTCGTGTATCTGGAAGCCCTGATTCTGCTTCCCGTGGCCTAACCGGCGTAGGTATAATATTGAGTCCTAGGGCAGAACTAGCTCTCTTAGAGTGGATCCCAGTAGATAGCCGTTTGTGCGCTGTCCGACTAAGCGGAACAGTAAGAACTCGGAAAGATATGGATTCTCGTCGTTGCCTCTTCGTCGTCTCTGCCTATTCTACCACTGACTGCAGCACAGATGCTGTAAAAGATGAGTTTTACAGAAAGCTTTTGGACCTTCTCCGAAAAGCTAAGCGCTCGGATGTAGTAATAGTGGCCGGTGACTTTAATGCTCAAGTAGGTAAACTAAGCGATAGGGAAAGACACCTAGGTGGATCTTATGGTGTTGTGGTTCAAAGAACAGATAATGGCGACCGTCTGTTGCAGCTATGCTCAGATAACCGCCTGTTCCTTGCAAATACTAACTTTAAGCATAAGGAAAAACATCTTTTAACATGGCGACCCCCTAATTCGTCCCAACGTTGGACCCAAATAGATCACATCGCTATCAGCCACCGATGAAGAGGCTCGATAGAAGACTGTCGCTCATTCTGGAGCACATGCTTAGATTCAGATCATGCTCTAGTACGAGCGCGTATCTGTCTACGTCATACTGGACGTAGGAAAGACGCTGCAAGTAAACCTCTTAGGGCCCTACTTAATGATAGTCAAACTAAGAGTATATTTCAGGAACAACTAGGAAAACAGTTAGGCAGCCATGTATGTGATGCCCACCCCGATGCAGCATGGAATGATATCCGAAAAGCTGTGGAAACAGCAGTGATATCTGCTAGTAAGGTAAACCAGAAGGTTAGGGAGCAACACTGGATCTCAGCAGCATCTATCTCACTGATAGATGCTCGGAAACTCATCCCACCTGGCTCTGAACATAATGAAAAGCGGAGTCAGCTTAAGCGTAAGCTGACAAGAAGTCTACGCAATGATCGCGAACACTGGTGGGTAGCGGAAGCAAGAGATATGGAAAAGGCAGCGGCAATAGGTAATAGCAGACAATTGTTCAGACTCGTTAAGGAAACCGGAATTAGGAACCTGACCGTTAGCGAAACAATCTCAGAGAAAGATGGACATATTATTCATTCTCAATCCAGGAGATTGGATCGATGGGCAGAACACTTTAGGGATCAGTTCAACTGGTCTTCAGCGACACTTCAGTTTCCCACGATCTCTAGTCAACCTGAATAGTAAGTTAATGTAAGTCCTCCACCCCTTTACGAAGTTGAAAAAGCCATAGGAAATCTGAAACGAGGGAGAGCAGCAGGCCCTGACAGGTTTACTCCTGAGATTTTTAAGGATGGTGGTCCAGTATTAGCAATGAGATTAACCGAGGTCTTAGGTAGAATTTGGGAATTGGATGCGATCCCATCTGACTGGTCTCAATCACTGATTGTGCCAGTCTATATGAAAGGACAAAAGTCCTCTTGTGACAATCACAGAGGAATCAGTTTGACTAATATAGTGTCTAAAATATAAACCTCAATAATACTTCGACGCCTAATCAAAGCTCGTGAAG